AAAAAAAAAGTAATTAAAAAAAAAAAAAATTAATTATTTTATTGTTTTTTTTATTTAAAGTAAATGTTTTGAATAAGAATTATTGTAAAATTAGTAAGTTTTTTTTTTTTTTTTTTTTTTTTTGACAGTTTTCATTCATTTCTCGATTGCCAGTAATTGATAGCTGCCATTTTTAAATTTATAAATAATTTGCAATCACTTTCAGGCATATGACCAACATTTAAACATGATCCTTGGAGAGGTGGAAGAAACCGTGACAACAGTTGAGATAGACGAGGAAACATATGAAGAAATTTATAAGGTACAATCAGAAGATAATTGAATTATGCTGTATAGTCTAACTACAGTTACAGCATTATGAACTTTCTATTTTTAATTGTTTTTTCCTTTGGCTGTTACTACTATTTAAGTATAATGGGAGAGAGTCATTTATAGGCAGAAATGAAAATTTTTAAAAATTTTACTGATAACATGCTACTCTAAGAACTTGGTTGGGAAGCAGTTCTATCAATAAATTCAAATAATGTTTCTATATATTTTGTCTAAAAGTCGGTTCATGAATGCAAAATAGAGGAATTTTTCTGCCATTTGATGTTTTTCTTCCTAGAGGTCATTCATAGCATTTGTTCAGATTTTAGCTCACATTGGCTATGGTTTAAGTAAAATTTGTTCTTTTTATGTACTGTTCTTTGCATCCTTGCTGCTACTTAATTGAGATAGATTAATTACATAATTGACCGTTTCTGTTTTTTAGTCCACAAAGAGAAATATCCCTATGCTGTTTGTAAGAGGAGATGGAGTGATACTGGTCTCACCTCCACTCAGAACAGGATAACATAGAACTAAGACTTTCTAATATGAGACATTACTGTTATTGTGGGCTTCATTGATGAAATCAGTGAGTGCATTAGTAAAGCTAATCTTGATGTCAGCAGGGATGCCAAAGCAATGTTATATGAGACATAAGGACATATTTTGCTGGTCATCAGTGATTTTGGTTTAAAAAAAAAAAAAGATTTCGGGATTAATTAAGACAGCACGTTGCTGCTTGTCATTGCAAGTTGATAACTTTTTCCAGCCATTGGGCTTTTCCCAACACGTCAGGCTTTCAACAGATTCCAGGACAGAAATCAGACAAGCACAACAGTTACTGTTCTGAATAAGATGTATTATGTGTTTTGCCCAAATTTCAATGAAATGTTGAATCAGTGAAAAGGTAATAGCATACTGGCTCAGAATTAGAAGTATTGCACACATAAGTTTTACTAACTTATATCCATTATAAAGCCCGACTATTGTCCTTTTCCTTTTTTTTTTTTACATTTAGTGACTGAATTCTTAAATGTAGACCTATTTCTGTTTAAGAAAATTATTCCAATTCTTAAGGTGTCATTTTTTGGTCTTGAAAATGGCAACAAGATCATGTTGTCAATGGTGTTACTTAGCCATGATACTTGGTGGCTTTAAATGGCTGTATTATAGAAAAAATATTTTTTACTTTGTAATAAACAATATTATATTTAGTTTTATGTCAGTATTCATATAAACCTTTAAAAGTTGTGTTAAAAATTGCTGTTAACTTGGTTAACAATGTATAAAATGGTGTCACTTACAAAAAATATAGAGAGTGGGATAAAAGAAAAGCATTTTTTTAAAATGCCTCCAATTATTTATTTTAAAGTGGTAAATTCAGACAGTGAGCATATTATGAAAATACTACTTTACTTTTTATTACTACTTTATATTACTTTATATTACTTTAAAATTAATAGATCAAAATAATAATAGTTATTATAAAAAGAGCAGAAAGAAACCAAAAGAAAGAAAAGTAAATTTTAAAGTTTTTATTAACTGTTACAGAAATACAAAGTTGAGAGAAGATGACGTGTATACTGTCTTATAAGTACAGCGATTCATTTGTCTGTGCAAAAATCTTGTCAACATGGTTTGTAAATAAATGCCGAAACTTCTCCAACTACAATTCAAAACAATTAACAAACAGATAAGTATCTTCATGATATCTTTCACATTTGTGAGTCATTTTCACATATTTTGATGCAACATTCACTTTCTATTTTGAGAAAGTTTTTACTGCAGCACCATTTGCTGTGTCTCTGCATCATAAAGTGGGTTATCAAAGTTTTCACCAACATGGCTGCTGGAAGTCTGAGGTTCCTCTTCGCTGAGGTGGGTAAATCTCTCGAAGAAAAGACCGCCTTCCTGAATGATAGATCATATTGAATATACTTCAGTAGATTATTGTCATCCTGATGTTGAAAATAATACCTCATTAAAATTACAGTTAATGATGCACTATGATAATGGATAATCTTGTTGTTGAAAAACAAATTATTAGAAGCAATTAAGCACTGGGTGTTTAACCAAAGTTTTTTTTATATATGAGAAAAAGACTCAAAAAGATGCTGATATTTTATTCAAAAAGATTTTGACTGAACCATTGCACATTTTGAAGATAATTTCAAGGTGTTTTTTTGTTTTCTTAAAGAAAGTTAATTGTATGTGTGTGTAAACAATATTACCTTTCTGAATCTCATTAAGATGTCCACCTTTCCACTTTTCTTCCACCAGAATTTGTACACCAAAACAAGTACTGCCAGTACTAGTATGCTTGCCACAATAATTCCAATTAATTCTGCTATCAGTGTGGTACTCTGTTGAAACAATACAGTAACTTATCTATTAATATGTGTATACATGGCAAAGTTGTAGTTTAAGAAGGATATGTTGTTCAGATTAACTAAAACTTTTAAGTTTTAAAATCAAAATATTAAAATATGAAATGGAACTGATGATGCACCCCGTTTTACAAAGGTCGAATATAAAACCAATTAAGTTAAGCATTTCTTAATATTTTTAACATAACTTTAAATAAAAAATTACTTTTTAAAATATCAGTTATGGAAATATACCATTTACCACATTTTTAATATACAGCAATTATAATCTATGACATATGGCACATACATTTCAGATGACTATTCCCACATTCTGAATTTGAATATATTATTCAAGAAAAGAAAAGAGTTGCAGCACATTTTACTAATTTTTCTGAATTTTTTTAGGTTTTCTTAAAGTTATGCTCTAGGTCAATTAAACTTTTACTTACTGATCCTGCAGTAGGAAGCTCTCCTCCAGGAACCTGACAATGTAAGATAGATGAATTGATTAGTCAAAGTATTAATTTACCCTCTCTGCTCTCCTATTTATTACACAATCATGTTACAAATCTATGTAAAAATTTTAATTGAAATGTATCTTTTGTCATAATTAATACACGTATAATAGTTGATAAATGTACCTGTAATAATGGACCACTCTGGGAATACTAATTGTACCACCAGCGTTAGCGCTGGCGGTACACATGGTTTCGGTCTCGTCCGGATCGTTCCGCCGGCTCCGCCGGACGGCTACCGTTACCGCTTCTCCTCCTAGACGGTAAGGCCCCCCATACCCATCTCATGGATTTAGGTCACCTATAATCTCAACTCGTTCCACGTAAAATTTGGGCTTTGTCGGTATTGGGGTCTGGGTGTGGCACTCATTGCAATGCACCCTTGTCCAAAAATGGCAAAATTAAATGCTAATTATCTACCCTACGGAAGGAGTTACGGGAAAAATTTCTACAGACGGCTTTCCAAAAGTCATATGTGTAGATTTCAAATATACCCTCGGATTTGACCTTTGACCTTTACTTCAAGGTCAAATGGGCCAAAATTTTCAAAAAAATGAAATTTTTTACGAAAAAAAATTTTTTTGCCCTGTTATTCAGACACCACACAGACTTAACCAATAATATTATTGGAAAGTGTTACCCTTCAGGTCATCTTTCATCTCCGTGAATTTGGGGTCAATCGGTGCATTTTCACAGGAGTAGCGGCCATAAGATACCGAAACTGAAAACTGTCTCTAATTCGGGAACCGTTAATGCTAGAGACCCATTCTTTTTTGCATTTTGTAGAGCATGTAAAGCCCAACACTG